AAATACAAGGCACCTGTGCCATTCTTGCAAATAAACTAAAGCTTTCATGAAGCATATTTAAGGAAGTTTTATGCTTATTCACCATTATTTATTAATCTAAAATACATACCTGTTGTCAGTAATAAAAAAACAAAGCGTCCAATGTGAACTGATTTCCTCAGGCATAATAGATGTGTGAAACAGAGAAACTCATTAAATACCTACTAGCAGAGTCTTGGATGGAATTAAAATTAAAAAATGTGATGATGAGGTTTACTAACATTGTCACTAACCAACTTACCCATCAAATGCCTGGAGGTCACATTCTTTAAGTACCAAGAGAGCATGTCCTTCATATTCAGTTACTGTGGAAAATAGTATTACTTAATTACCAGAAGATAAGGCAATTTAAAAGGGTTTTTGTAATGTTTTCCCATCTAACAAAAATAACATACAGTAATTAATTTTAGATTATTTTTTAATTGTTAAATGCATTCAAAGTATGAGAGGGTACGTTTTACAATCACACTAGCCAAAAGGCAACACAGATTAAAACTCAGCTGCCATCAGACACAGAGCTATTTAGTGCATTTAAATTCACATTATTAGAGAAGATGTTTGTTATACCAAAAAAAAATTTTTAGCATTAACACAGTTGGTAAACTTCAGGAAAATGTAAGCACATCCTCAGATAAAACTGAATTCTTTCAGTATCAATGAAAAGTAATTGCCTTTGTGTTAGGATATGCAAATTGCTAGATTTAAAATTTAAGGAGTTAAACACAGAAGTATGAAATCAAGCCAAATACCAGTGACAACAGAATATAACACATAGAGGAAGGTGGCACAAGTATGCACCAGAGTTAATAGCCTCTGGAGGAAATGAATCTGTCACTCTACATTGATGTTGCTGTGTTTGCTGATACCCCATATAGTACAGTAAATGCCAGTGAAGACAGGATAAACTGGCATACTACAGATGGCACAAAGCATCATAACTACATTTAGCATTTTCTAGGCCAGCTTTGCCAGAAGAGACAGCCCAGCTGCAGCCACCCATCAAAGATTTTTGCTGACTGACATGACACTTGCAGATGGATTTTTTGTGTAAAAATGTGCATCATTATATGCAAAATTACATTAATCTTTCATGCTTTTCTGTCCCTGGTGCTAGGATAGTTCAAGGCTTTTCTCCAGTATTTCTAAACACTGTTAAAATTATTAGTCTTGGTGTCTAAAGCAATCATTCCGTATCTGTACCTGTTCTAACAGTATTCGTACAGACTATTAAATGCTGCTTACAAGAACTGAAAATACGTCTCTTTTTCTCTATATATTTGTACACACACAAGAATGTGTGTGTATTAGATAGAGTGTACTGATAACCTTTTTTTAAAGAAAACAAAGTCTAAATAAAAATTGTAAATGTCTATCCTTCACACTAAGCACTTCAATATCAACATATAACTTCAAAATCTCCCAAATAGTATTAACAAATTTCTAGTCCTTGGTGGTTTGGAAATTCTTAATTAAAAACCAGAATTGTTTTGGCTGTATCAAAGGCAGGATTTGGCTACAGAAATAGCTGTCACTATAATAGTTTTCAGGAATTATTTACAGAATTTTCTTTCATGCAAAACCTCTTTTGGAAGATGAAAGCACAATATTTAAGCTATCAAGTTTTGCTTTTACTGATGGGAACTATCCTCTCATCATCTGTAGATTGTGAAGAAAGCATCCAATAAATCTGTGGATCATGCAAAAATGCAAAAAGGTTCAAATGTCTTACCATCATTTAACTGTGAAAGAAAATCTTCCCATGAAAACATACAGTTGGTTACCAGGTTACACAACTTTTTTAATTAACATGATGACATTTATAAAGTTATGAATGAGTACAGTCTAATTAAAATGGTATTGTAAATAAGATTTTGTTTTGTAAAATAAAACATACTCAGTGGTTTCCTAATGTAATGTAAGTTACATTTACTATTACAAAATTAATTCACTCAAGGAAGAAGGACCTGAAAATAAGAGTCATGCCTACAGAAAAATCAATACAGGCAGTAAAATTGACTAGAGTTAGCCAGATTGATGAGGACTCCATTCTTTCACATCTACTAGCTTAAATATGTATGAGGACTACTTCCAATAACTCCAAGAAATTTAAAGTCTGATAAGAGAATGATAGAGGTACACAGCATCTATTTTGAAACATTATGACAAAAAGGTAATGAAAAAATGAAAATCTTCCAGGAAAAACTTCATGAGAACATATAGAAGATTGATCAAGTTGAAAACATTGAAAAAAAAAAAATCTAACACAGACATAAAGACATCATGTCTAAAAAGTTTTCTGCAAGCTTGACAACCTCCAGAGAAACATAAAAACCATTCTGTTAGCTGGAAAAAAGCTAGATGTTTGAATATTTGGTCCTGTTCCAAATCAGGGGGGGAAAAAACCCACACAAAACCCCCCAAAACACAAACACAAAAGAATGACACAATGAATTTTGAAAGAAGAGCACTGACAGTGTACCTCATTTGAACAGTCACACATATTCCGAAACATTGGCACACCTTATCTCAGGTAGCCAATAAAAAGCTAAGGGTTGAACCCCTACACAGAGAAGACACAACATATAATTAGCTCAACACTTCCAAACGTGGGAAACTTCCATGTGGCAGGTATAAATACTGGAACTCATGTCATGGACTAATGTCAGTAGGCTTAAAACTATTGATAACAACAGATTAATTGCTGTTGACACTGGTTGAAAAAAAATATTAGTTATTTACTGTATAGTAAGTTTAACCAATGTTAATTGTCCAATTCTAAATCACTCTCTTTCATTGTGATTCTGACCTAAAAATGGGAGTGTGGGGAGGGCTGTTGTTTTTGCCTAAACATCCAGCTTGTAACGTTGTGTAAACAGAAGCAGAAGAGTCAAAACTAGGGAGAGAAGTGAGACAAGCTAGCAGTCTGTTTGGGTTACCTTTATTTTTATTTCCTTGAGCATGTGTAAAATTTTGTAAGATACATATTTTGTAAGATAATGCATTTCTAAAATACTAGCTCCAATTACCACTATTTGGCAGCACTCACAGGCATTCCAAACAAAGAGTGAGCTTTTGTTGAGCTGGATTTCTAGAAGAGTCACCATTTCCCTAACAGCCCTATCCCAGCTGTAGCACTCAAGATTGCCAAACTCTTGAAAGACTGTATAAAGACCAGTTTTTAACTATTGCTCAGCTACACTTAAGGTACTCTTTCGGTTTTAGTTTGCTAATTCCCACTTCCTACTGCACTAAGCACTTCAGAGATTCCTTTAGTCCATGCAACATGAATAACCCTAAAAACCAATAAAACACAATCTACTCTAAAATCTTTGGTTAATTTCACTAAAATTAAGACATCTGTAGTGTGCAAAGTAATTTGGTAAAAAAATTATAATCAAAAAACCTATCACATGTAAAGACAATTGGAGAAAGTAAACGCTATTTCAGAACTCACTCTTACTACGTTTGTTCACCACTATGTAATTTAAAAACTGGCGATGTTTCAGAAAGCAGTAACAGCAAGATGCATACACCAGCTCCAAAAAAACCAAGGCAATTATGGGAGGAAACAAACCTGTTCAATTTACTTGAAATTAGGCATTTAGTTTTATTAGAAGATAGTATTAGGAGGAAGAACTTTTGCTCAGCACCCACCACCCTTTATTTTTTTCTTTTTTTAATACATTTTAAACCGTAGTGAAGTTTTCTCACTTTGCCTGTAGGAGGAGTGTTAGGCAGCTAATAAGCACAATAGTATTGCCGAAATAATCTTATTTTAAGAAAAAGTCAGTGAACATTTATCTGTCTAAACCCAGAAGTTCATTTTCAAAATGTAAAAGAAAAATCATTAAAATAAACTTTAAACTGTTTTTATTCAATTAGGGAAGGTGTTTTGTTTTAATTACTACAAATTACGTTGCTTATAAATTTTATTAATTCATTTTAAAAATAATTATACCTATTTGGCTTATTATTTCAACTTTATTATTCCAGATAACATTACATAGCCAAAAATGTAATCTTACACAGGTTACTGACAATGCTGCATTTAACAGTGTCTAACAAACAAGGTTATGTAAACAGTAAAGACAAAAAAAAAAAAAACCCAAACACTAACCAGTAGTAAGGAATAAATTTTTAAAAGGTAATTTTCCTTACATAGTTGCTTAAAGTCATAGTTTATTTAACAATATGACAGTTATCTCTAACTAAGGTTTGCATGACCAAAAAAGAAGCTTTTTAAAAAAAATTATGATCAAACGAGGATAAGTCAAATTTCTAAAAAGACAGCCTTATTATTAATCTGTTTACACCATCATCTATGCCTTAAAGGCGAAAAATATGTCTGTGAGAATCAAAACTTACAAGGCTGCTGGCATTCCCTTATCAGTTAAGGGAAATTAAGAAATTATCACTACAGACTTCTAACAAAGACAATCTTTTTCACATTTATTCTCAGGCATATTTAATCTTCAATTGATTTTACTTTAAATTGCAGGCTAAGTCCTTTAAAAATACATAGATACAGGCAGTAAAGTTAGCAAGAGAAATCTCATATGCATAAAATCTCATACACTTACTGCTTTATGATATGTTCACGCCTAAATCAGATTTGTTCAGAATTACTTTTGTCCTGCAACCTGAACTGGTTATGATTTCACCAGAATTCTAAGGGCCAACTGTAGGATAAGGCCTCTGCTTTACAATTTAAGCTGGGACTGATTATTTTGCAATCCAATTAGAGTAGACATAGGAAAAACTTTTTGGTGTTAAAATATTCACACTTCACATGGACATTAAATGAATAATCAAAACTTAGCAGAGCATTACAGGTAATTGTAATACTGCGGATAAAAAAAAAAATAAAAATTAATGGGAAATACTAATAACATTTATTTGTAAAAGACACCTGTAAACTAGGGTGGTTTTTGAGACCAAATGTGATGTAACGTAAGTTTTGGTCTCTTCACAGAATGGGGCAAAAGTAATGATCAGATCATTAATACTTCACTGCTTTAAGAAAATTTATAGTTTCCCTGTTCAACTTCTTAAAAACCTCAATCAAATGAAACAGCCAAAGGGCAAATTCAGGATACAAAGCAGAACTCTGGCAGAAATTGGAGCCTTAAAATCCAAATCTGCTATCAGGAATCCGTTGTTGAGCAGAAGACAGCATCACTACAACATTAAAGCTGCACCTCGATGTTCTCCAGAAACCAAGTCACACTCATGTGCCTTGTGAGAACTGGCCTTGTCATCACAGAACTTCATCAATCAGGCTCTCAGGTCACCCCTGAAACTGAGTCACAATCCAGAAATAATGTGCCCTTTGGATAAGCCCCTCTTATGATATCAGGCCAATAAATGTTCTCAGAAGACAAGTAATATTTAAGGACATGTTTGTCAGAATATAGGAACAACTCGTAGCAAGCACTCACAAATCAGTCATTAAATGCTTCTTTCTTGTAATAGAAGGCTTCCTTTAAAAAAAATGCAAAAAAAACCCCACAGTACTAGCATTGATACCTACAGGGGGAAAATACCCAATAAATAACAGAATTATCTAAACATTTTTTAATTAAATAAAAATATATTGCATTGTTTTAACTACAGTTCCAAATGGAGTACTTGCAGGCAAAGCCAGTAAGTATTAACAGGAAATACAAATTGTTTTGCATGACTAGTTTCACAAAGGACTACACTATGTTTTTGAAGCGACTTACGTGTGACATCAGTTTTTATGTCAGCAAGCTTAAAAAGAGGTGCAACTTGTTCAAAATAAACATGAGCGGCTTCTCTTTTGTGGCTGCTTGGATTAACAAACACTTTTAAAGATTTTGGTCTATTCTGAAAGCCTAAAAAGAAAACACAAAGCATTAAGATTACATAGAGCTCAGCTGTTTTTACAACTGAAAATGATTTTTGCTATTAGAACAATTACAGTACTTTAAGAGGATAAGTAAATTATAGTCTATAAAACTAAATTTCTTCTTGGATATGCAGTACCTATCTTGAAAGTACAGTATTGATTACTTTAGCATGTATACACAGAGGAGGGAAGGAGGGAAGGAAGGAGGGAAGGAAGGAAGGAGGGAAGGAGGGAAGGAGGGAAGGAGGGAAGGAGGGAAGGAGGGAAGGAGGGAAGGAGGGAAGGAGGGAAGGAGGGAAGGAGGGAAGGAAGGAAGGAAGGAAGGAAGGAAGGAAGGACCCTGATATAGGAGCAGGTTGAATATGGAGAAGTTATACGATCGAGCAACAACAACAAAGAAACCCAACCAAGCATCAAAATATATCCTTTTTGGAATTTAATATTAAATTCTCCCAGCAGACACTTGACAATAACACCCAACAGAACTGATACTATGATCCAATACTTTTGTTTACTGAGATTGCAAATCAAACAGTGAAAAGAAAATTGCCTAATCGTTAAAGAGGTCCAAAGAAATACATAGTATCATTCAGAAATCTGAGAACTGTTGTTTATTTTATCTTTTCAAAGGTTACATCTAGGTCTTAAAAGTAACAAACTGAGAAACACTGTTGCACAAACAAGTACATGGTCTTGCACATTGATCCCATGAGTGAGTGCAATGGAGAACTGTGACTATAGTGAGGGCTGTAACGGGCCACACACAAGAGGCAAAGTTAGGTGGCTTTGTAGAGTCTTGAGAAGCGAACCTATCTAAACGCTGTCCCTAAGTGTCTTCTGTGGAAGTAGCGAAGACCACTAAGCCAGACAACACAACACAAACAAGAGACACTACACAAAAGATCCCAAATACTATTAAAACATAAACATCATACAAACATTATAATAATTATTATTCAAGACACAACGTAAATCTACTATCTGGTATTATTGCAGTCTTTTAGAAGTAATAAAAATATTAAGACAAAATAATTTCTGTGACTTGATACTCTTAAGGAAACCAATTTTTAAGAACACAGTTGAATTCATTTTTTTTGTTTTCTTTGTTGGTTTTTTAACTGAAACTTAATTCAATAATTATTCTAAACCAGGAACTGTATTTATTGTTACATATATTAGGCTATTGTTGAAAAGTAGATGACAGCTAATACCTAAATCCTAGTGAGATTTTTCAAGAACCAAAAGAATTCACAGGATAGAAGTATTAGAACATTCTCTTTATGACTACTTGAATATCAAATCACTTATTTAGAAAGGCAAGCTAGGTTTTCTATTCATAGAAACAGCAGATCTATAGCACACTACTGATGTGGTTTTGTTTGTGCCAAATGATTGCCAACTGACAAAAAAGGATGATCACGACAAAAATTTGTCATTCCCAGCATGAACTGGACATCTTATAACACAAACAACTAACTTCAATGCAAGAACATGAAATAACTGTCAAAAATGAAATTTTCACACCATTATATGGTGAAACTTCTTTAAAAGTATTTATAAATAATTATAATATTTTAATTTTCTTTAAACGACATCTACATGAATCAATCAATCTCATTTACTACAGCCAGCAACTGATTTCAGTCTGTCAGCCTTTTGGTGTTCTCCTAACTGGTATTCTGTTATTGTTTCCTGTGGCTGCTCCATTTTAAATGAACCAGAAGCCTAAAGCAGGAAGGCCAACTGTTCCTCTAGTACTAACACATGTGCTAATATGCACTAGTTTAAACTTGATCTATCAAGTGAATCAGTGAACCATGAAGGGTGGTGGGTCAATCAGGGTGTTCTGAAAACAAAGGCTCACAGGGCAGCAGAGACGCTACGCTCAGACATACATCTGTGCTGCTTTCAGTTCCTACCTTTAGGAAAAAGGGTTTATGTTACAAAAGTTAAGAGCTTGGAATCATGTCATTATTGCATACATTTATAAATACTTTCTACAACAGTAAGAATATTATACATGAGGAAAACTAACAATATGAGACAAATTTGTTAATGTAGCTATGGAGACACTACTGTTAATATTAACTACCCAAAGTTAATATTTAACATTAATAGTTTAATTAAAACTTCATGCATGAAGTTTCAAACATTCGTATCAAATCCCACTGTGTGAGATACTACAGAATAGATTAAAAAATGCACTCCATGCATTTTTTACTACTTTATAATTTCCTCTTAACCACATTTACTGTCTTCTGATAGTTTACAGAATGTAAGTAGAAGTTTTTCAAAATAAGTGTTAATAAAAATAAGTCTTATCATGCTAAAAAAAATAAATTACTAGATAAGCTGTGAAAATTATGCATTTCCTCTCATTTCTGAGGCTCTCAACCTTTTAAGTAACGCTGGGCATTTGCACACAAGGAGGATTTGGATTTTACGTTGAACAGTTAATTCCACTGACACATATGTCCACTGTACATGCCTATAAGTCCAGTAAAAAAAGATGCAATGTATAAACGGAAAACACTGAAAGTCAGGTGTACAATAGGTCTGACGCAAGATCAACAGCACACTAGAATCTGTCTAAGCTGCCATTTGGGGCTTTCCATGAGCCAGCCCAGAACTAAGGGTTGCATGCCTTAAGATGGCAGTGGTTATTTTCTATCAGTTTAACAATAATGCAACCTACAGATCAGTTTTCCTGAGCACCATATTATTGAGCAAGCTCTCCATATCTAGCTGGCATGCATCTGAACAGCAGCAATGTTATGCTGAAAATCAGAACTTATTTAAAAGTGGGAAGATGGTAGTACATATGTCGTGTTACCCTGTAGTATACATTCAAAAAGACATAATAGCAGCCACTGTAGCTGTTTAAAACTAAAACTGAACAACTATTTTAAGTCTTATTATGTGTGTGATCACTTAAATGATGACAAGCTTCATAAAAAATTATAGCCTAGTTAGAACTTCAATAAATACTCTGAACCAGGAGAGAGTAAGAATGATCAGGAAAAAAAAACAAGCAAGAAACACTCATGTCAGACAAAATGCACAGTAAAAGAGAAACTGTGTACATGGTACTTCAGAAAAAATTAGATCTTCACTATAACAAATCTCCGGACAAAACTCTTGCTCATATCATCACTGATGAATTTCATGTTGTTGTTCCTTAATTAATGTATATGCATAAAAATCTAAAAAACTGTCAAAGAGTAAGGTAAACAAATAGAAATTGCAATTATTTTCAAAGGAGACATGTTTTCATAATATTTAATCATTCTGACAAATGAAAGTGCATGTTTACTGACAGCCATACCCAAACATATATACACTCTACTTTGCTCAATCACCTGCTTTTAATTTGCTCCAGCCTGGAAGCAACACCTTAAAGTAAATAATGCAGCAGTTAAGAAAAATTTACTTTGTGATCAGACAGATTAGAAAAAAGGATATGTACAGCTAAATTTTTACTATTTTTGAAAGATGAAATTTTAACTTTATTCTGCAGTTTGTAAGGAAACCAAATAGGAGCCATTTTGAGTTCATTAACAAAGATGTCACAAGTTCTATTATGAACACAAACTCTGGCAAAAACGATCAAAATTCATCACTGTTCCAAGCAGAGATATATCAATGTGCCTTCTGAAATGTCAGTAACTGAGGAATCAAGAGAGTTAACTGCATTTTATACTTTTAGTCTGGACTTGAATCCATCCCACTAGAATTCCCACCTCTTGCCGATGTTCGGTACATTTTAAAAAAAACCTTTTTGTTTCTTAACTGTAACATTGCTGTATCAAAGCTATTTAAATTACTGATAATGTGTCTTTGCCACATTGAATGCAAAAATGCTGCTGGCTTTTTTTGCCAATTTTCAGGATGGAAAGTCCTGATTATTCCTGAAGTAAAAGAAAAGGAGAAAAATGTACTGATTAGAGATCAAGAAAAATCTGTGCAAGTTTTTAGCTTCTGGAGAAAGACTGAGGCTGAAGGAAGAACTCAAAACAGCAACGCTGCACAGAATGTTTTTTTCAGGTTCAGGTAGCTTCCAATTACAAAGCTATAAAACAGAGACTGCACCTCCAAGTCAAGGCAACCTGAGCAAGAGATACTGCAGCTTTTTTTCTGTGAACATATGGTATTGCTGCTCCTGATGGATGGAGGGTAATCTGGGAACAAAAAAGACATTTGCTCCTTATGCAAATGTCCTTGCCTTTATGGGTAGCCGGAGATCTGCAAGAATCTTGGCACTTCTGCAGATTTAGATATTTCATGATTAAGTCTTTCAAAAAGGGGCAAAGGAAGGCACCTTTTAATACCCATTTTTATTAAGAAAATCCAAAACATATTGTAAGCAAACAGTAAGAATGCCCTGTCAGTAACTCATATCATTTTATTTTCTCTAACAGCTGCTTTTGACAGTCACTTTACTAGAAGTACACTATAAATCGCTATTGAAAGTGTGGCTGCAGATGTGTAAGATTTGATTTCTGGTATCCAGCTCAGTATTAACAATTCAGCTGAAGTTTCAATCGTCTATTTCAAGATGAATTGTTTTTCTCCTGTAGTAAACAAACTCATTTGCTATACATTATAAACAGAGAAACATTTTAGAGCTAAATCAGAAAGTTTGGTTAGTAGGGTTTTTTTGTTGTTGTTGTTTTTTAAATCACAAGTGTATTATATGCTGTGTCTTTTCATTTATGGTATCAGAGTGAAATGCTGGGGGGGGGGGTTTCTCCCCCTAAAATGGTGATTTATTTTTTTTTTAATTTGATACAACATGCATGAAAAAAATGCAACTAACATGGGTTAAACAAAGCACCCTGAAACTGGAATTAGCTCAGGCAAATACAGAAAGATATTTTTAAAATAAAGAATTGACTCTCAATACATTCTGTATCAAACTATACAATGAGAGTCTTACAGAATCTCAAGAGCACTTCCACCTGTGAATTTGTGAAGAGGAAAGGCTCTCCAATTAGTGTCTTAAAGAATCTGCAGGTCTCATGTGGGACCTCCTTAACAGTCACTGGGAAGTCTCTGATGAGAGCCCAGGACTGCAACAACTGTGGTACCATCAGATATACTGCAATTCTAAGTGAAAACATCAATAATATATTTTGTTTCTTTAAAAACAGATTTTCCAGAATACAGTAAGATATTATTTCCAGAATACAGTAAGATATTATTTTCAGTAGCTTCCAAAGCACTTCCAAAAAACAGTATAATTCCATTTCAGTTTTACAAATGCATTAGCCAATTATTATAATTTCCCCAAATTTTATACTTCACTGTGAAAACTTCTGTAGTAAACACTTCCCAGCAATAATATTCATATCTGTGTCTTAATTTCCACAGGTAAAATATTTTTCTAAGCCTCACCCAACCCTGTGTATTGACAAAAGAAACAAGTCTGATAATTACATCAACCCAAATTAAGTGCTTACCATTCAAAATTTCTTTTAGATGTCTAAACCATAAATGACAATGATCTTCACTTAAGTTATTAAAATGGATAGCACAGTCTGTTAGCTTATTTGCTTCTTTATTCAAGCATTTAAAAACCGTGATACCCAACAAAGTACCACCTTTTTTCTGCCCTGCAAAACGACGACGTTTCAATTTTACAGAAAATACATCTTTGATTTCGATGATCTCCTCTTGGGCCTGTGAAACCATACTGGAATCACCTGCAGGGGAGAAAAAAGAAAAAAAATAAAAAGGAGAATTAGCAATACAATCAAGAGTAATACCTAAAAAAAAATATTGTTCTGGATTCATCTCTATCTTTCCTTGTTGCCTCTGCTCATGCCTATATAGAAACTTATTGTATAGAATTTGTCTCAATCACTGCTGTTGTATTTTACCAACTTCCTGTTATTTAGGTTAGATACCCAGCTATACAAATAACATTATTTCAAAGAGGTTAGTTAATACCTCTTTTGATACACACACACAAAAAAAAAATAAAAATCACAGTCTCCAAGAACAGTGAACCATTTTTTTCTTTTTGTATTTGCATTCAAAAAGAAAATTCTTAATTGTATTCTTCTAAATCATAGCAATCATAGCAGCTGTATTCTCCTAAATCATAAACCAGAAAGCGTGCTATGACACAAGCTGACTATATGCTCAAGGTATTTTTTCATTCGATATGTAAAAGAAAAGCCATTTCTTAAGTTCTTGTGAAAGTCCAAGACCTTGTCTCCCAGGTGAGAGCTGTGTTAGACTGAAACACTAAGTGAAGAGGGTTTTTATCTCAGGGCTGTAACATACATGGACACTGTGGCTGCAGACACTACCAATTCAGTGACACTAGTTCCACAAATGCCTTTTGGAGATGTACTGATGGAACTACTGTGGCACAAGCTTCTCCTCTGCTCCCTTGAGCTCTAAAACCCAATTCCTCAAAATCAAAGTGAAATGCACAGACTGAAGGAAAAATGTCACCATTCCTGTAGCTGTTAGATATTCGGCACAAAATGTTTCCATGCTTTCTTTTTAATTACAGCAGATCAAATATCCTAGATGAGTAAAGGTCCCTTTTCAGCCCATGCAAGAAAAGGGTGAAACCAGGAATCTTTTCCAAATCTAGCAACAGTTCAGTCTAGTGGCTTCTCAGTAGGCAAACCCATAACAGATTCTGTCTGACGAGCATTTTTTATGTTTGCTGCATGCTGTTCTGAAGTGCCAGGAAGAAGCTGCAAAAGACTATTTTACCTGTCTTCCTGGGAAAAATGGACAGCACTGCAACAGTCAGACTGCAAAATCAAGCATTACCCACTTCATTAAATCACATGAAGCTGAGGGCTTCAGAAAGCCATACTTTTTCTGAGCAGAAAAAAACCAGCATACATCAACTCTTGTAACAGTTTGAACGCTGGCATTTCTCATTTTTGTTTCTTTAACCAGGCTATGCAGAGGTCATATTTCTATCCAGAAATTCTGGAAGACTAGACCTCAGCAATGCCAACACAGACAAAGTCAGTATTACCTCTCCTGACAATTCCCAACTAACCCATTTTTTCCTGTTCCACAACAAATAACCTACTGCAGAGAGAAATATGATCTTATTACACTTCCCACATATTTTTTCAACTTGTTAAATTTTACCATCTGAATTTGTCCATATGTCAGCTACTAAAGCATAAAGTTGGACCAAAATAATTCCATTCTTAGCAGGAATACTGTAACAAGTTAATGTTTGTGTGCACTGAGATAGTAACAACAGATTGTAGTGCAGATTTTCAGAAGCAGCAAATAAACAGGAGGAAATTTACCAAACAATAGAGAACAAAACAAAGTTTAAAGTCCTGTAATGATTGCAGTAAAAGTAGTTTCTATAAGATCAACTGAAAGAAACCAGGGGACTAAGGGAAAAAGAAAATGGTATCATTCCATTTGAACTATGATTTTGCATACATTCAAAGGATGACTGGACATTGTACAGATAAACTTAATAGTAACATCACCAAATCTGAGATCTTGATTTTGTCTTTAAACTTTGTGTTGCTCTTCTTAAACATCTGGGGGTAAATGCTAATGTTATGCGCATGCATCACAACAAATTACAAACATCAGCTTACATCCTGCACAAATCAAGAAAAATTAAGGCCTCTTAAAATGTTTTTTATTCCCCCACTAGCTTTCATAGAACAGCATTTAGTCATGAGCCAGGTAAAGCTTATCTTGTCCATTCTTTTCATGCTGTTATTTCTGCCAGATTTTTTCTTGCTTTTACATCCTCCTCTTACTCCATATTGGTCAAATTCTTGTGTTGCCCAGATGCGTGTCAAAACTTTGGAAAGCAATGCATTCTTCCTAAGTAGCACTACAGTTTCAAAAGTAGCATTTTACTCTAGTTGTTCTACTGGAACACATGTCCAGATACAGCTTGGAGAAGCATATAAATTGTACGAGTAGTGAACAGTATAAAAATATCATCCTCAAGTTTCACATTTCAGAGGTAATATTTAAATAGCTAGTAGGATTAGGACAGGCAATTTCTATTAAAGTTGAAAAGAAATCTGCATAAAATTCCCTAGGCATATTCCAAAATGTTCACCTTCTATTTTGACTTGAAAATAGAAAACAAAAATGCAGTAAAATTTTATAAAATAATTTAGATAAAGAAAGTCATGGGCTAAATTTATAAAATATTTCTAGTATGTGATAACAAGCAAGTTTACTTTAAAAATTAAGTATATGTTGGATTAGGCACTTTTTAAAATTTTTAAAACCTATTGGTTCATTAGTGTCATATTGGTTATTTCTAGCTGTTTCAGGACATAAACTGTCCTCTCACATTACTTAGAAAGATATTTGGTACCATCTGTTCTTGCAAGAGATTTAAGTATACATCTATTAGATATCATGCTATTTATTTAATTCAGTACCCACTTCCCATTGTTGTATCTTCTGAAAAAAAAGTCAATTTAATTACAAGGAATAAAGATAATCTCTTCTACCAGGCTGCTCTGTCATCATGAAAGCAGAGAGGGAACCTGTATAATGTAGGTTACAGGCATTAGGAATAGTAAAACTAACTGCACTTAACATTTAACGAAGATCTAACAAAAACAGAATACATGGCACTTAAAAAAAAAATTACTATAAGCCAAGGGCTTGTCTAAATCAATTTCAGCACATCTGTCTGATGTAGAGCGTAAACAGGATTAGAGCTGGATTTATCTGCTTGACGCTAATTGTACTCACAGTTACTGCACATGTCCACTTCCCCCCCTCCCCTTTAATACAGTATGAAAAAAAAGCCTGCCTGGATATATGAATTTCTAGGAAGTTTTATGCCCCTATTTATCCTCTCACTGATTTCAAGCAATGAGACTATCCTACATTTTTCCTATTTACAGTAGTTTAATCTCATTTCATAAAAAAATATATCTAAATACACCACACTGAACTGAATCAAAAGGTGAGACTAACACTCAAATACAAGGTAATTGAAAATAGCAAACCAAATTTTAATTAGTTAAGAGTGTTAAGCCAGGCTTTACACAAATAGATTATCTCATGTTTACAGTAAAAATGATGAAAACATACACAAAGAAAAAAGCAATACTACTGAAAAATAGAACAGTTTGTAAGGAGGAGAAGCGTGTTATTAAAATACTGACACCAACACTTCAACAACAAAACACTTATTGGACTGTTTTCCTACCACAAAGGCCCAATGTCTAGAAGGGGCATTTGAGGACTTAATTTCCATAACAAATAAGTGGAGTACATGGAAAGTGGTGAAAAATACACATGAAATGTGACTGTATAATTCAAGTAGGAGAATTGGACACAACTGAAGATGTGTTTGTTGGTCACAAATTCTTCCTATTACCTTTGCCAAGACACTTTCCTCCACTTATCTATATTTAATAGTTAAGTCTCTTACTCATTTTAGTTTCTCTGTCCCATTATGCATGCAAAGTTTATTTAATTAGTATTTGTTTGCTATAGCCAAGTACAGTGTAACATAGTAGAAATAATTGAATATAAAAATATTCAAGACTATACCAAAGAAAATACAGTGATCAACAGTAGTTATTATAGAGCTGAATACAGATAAACTTACACCTTATGAATGCTATTTTCAAAATAACCATTTAGGAAATACAATAAAATATAACCGTACTGATATATAGCCAAACAGGAAATAAATAGAACACAAAATTAGTTTTGACAATAAATCTACAAAAGCAGGCTTAGGAATATTCAAAATTAATATGATAATGCCTAATGCATGTAAAACAGCAACTACTAACTCACTAACTATTAAGCACATTTTTCTCAAAGTAAAATAATAGCATGCAACTGATTCATAAAACATCTACAGTTTTTAGCTACAACTTTGATTAAGGACTGGCAATGACAAATGTAAGTATGATCATTCTTGCCAGAAGAGCTGAAAATCACTGTAGCTCATCAGGCTATTTAACACTAAATTAAAGACCCTCAACACGAGGCAGGAAGTTTTTTTCAGAACATCTGAATTTTCAAGGGTTTTTTTCATTTCAAAAAGACAGGTCATTCAACACCTTTGACAAAATTTGATGCTATGCCTCTTGCTCTCATCTGCAAGCAGAGAAAACAAAATTGTACTCTCTGCTTACAAAGACAATCAAACAATAAGGTGAGGAGAAGGTGGTACAGAAAGGGCCAGGTTGTAGAGAGGCTGGTTTTCTCTGAAAATTGCTTTTACCCTACTCTAGTCCCTTTACATGGTGTTTGTTGTAAGGGAAGCATAATACAACAAAGGCTTTACTCTAGAAAAATGTTTCTGTGTAATGACTTTCTTGGGAGCAGCAAGGAGTTCAGAAAGTACTATGAAGTATGCAGCTCAGTTTCTCCAGACTTAGAGAATAAAAGCAGGGTGCATCTACTAACTTCAGCTTTTAACAGCAGCTATTCGCTTGCCATAACAGCTGTATTCCTTCAGGGCAGAAAAATTGAGTTTAAAAACATCTGTGAGGAATACAACCAATAATTTTCTTCTCCTTATCTAGAGAATCTGAGGGTGAAGGGATGTGTTTTGCCAAACCAATGCAATACCTTGCCGCTAATCCCTCTTTCAATACCTCACATTCCTGACACAACTGTAACCCAGCCCTTTTCCTTCTGTCTAGCACTTGGCAAAGCCAAGCTGAGTCAATTCAGCTCCCTAAAGTAGCATATATTTTCCATTTCGGCTTTATTTTTTGTGCTGGCATAGTCTTCTGACAAGTTGTTTAGTAGTTCAACACAA